AATTATACTTCACGCTGTCCATATGATATTAGGTAGGAGGGATAATTGCAACAAAGACTTCAAACTTTTCAAACATTAGCAAATTTTTTCCCGACGTTTCATTCGTTGCAACCATCACTCCAAATCTTTCAAACTGTAGTAGCTGAAGCCTCAATGGATGGATTCCATCCATTTTCCCTTAACCTGACCCAAAAATTAAATTCAACCATATCCTATACATTTCAAAAAAAGGCACAATAATTATCTATTTATCGCATTAAACAATTGAAAAACTTAAATTAAAAATAGAAAAGAAAAGAAAAATATATCTTCTTCTCACTCATTCCAACCCCCATCCCCAACCTCTCAACCCAAAACCAGAAATTATAAACTTGCCACCGCCATCAACCACCACCGCAACGCCATCATAGAGTCTACATCCATCCTCTACTATTAGCAACAGCAATACTTGCAAACTTGCAGCTAATAGGGTCATCAGACTTGGAAGAGCCGAATTGGTAATCTAGAAACCCACCAATAGGGACAGATTCTGCAATTGTTTAGCTACTATTAATTGGTTATGATTTGTTAGATATTTATACAATAAATATATTATGTGAAGGAAACAACCAAATTAGATAAAGTGCGTAATTGGTGAAAAGTATGAAATTTGTATGGGAGTTCTGCGTTCGATTTACAACTCACACGATATTTTTTTATTTATTTTAATCATTTTCGAATATATTTAATGGCTCAAATTAATTAGTATAATATGACTGTTTTTAAATAACTCATTATCAATAACCTATTGAAATTTGCAACTATTTAATCGTTGTATTTCGATAGTGATTGTCCACAAATGTCATAACAGGTAATGACGGGCAATTTCACTTTAGGATATTGTGCTATCACGAGACTCAAGCAATCAATAAGTTCTACATTCTGTATTTTACAGTTCTGTAATTTACTGCAACTGATTATTTTCCAAAATGGTTTAGGGTTTCTAAATGGGGTATTTTCGTATATAAGTGCCGAGAATCAGGGTATCAATTTTGACATGTAGAGCCCATCTAGAGAGGAGTTGTACAGAGGAAAATTATGATACACCTATTGTAGGCAACAAAGCATCGGGCCTCTACTTTTTAAGCACATTCAATTTTTAATACTGTACGGAATTGGGACTCCTAAAGCTGGGAAAATTCTATGAGAGAAATTCAAAAAGTGAGGTTGATGATTGGGTCATTTGGCTATTGAAGATGATGGTGATATGAGTGATTTGGGTAATTTACAAAGGGAAATGGATAGGATGGTGGTGGAAATGACTAGTTAAAAGGACGGAGTCATCGAAGGGGATGATAATGTGGAGGGCAAATGGCTTTAGCCAGCAAAATGATTGGGGATGGAGGTGTTCAAGTTTATGAAACCCAATTTCGTGAGCACGACCACAAATGAAATAGCTGGAGGTTGTGGTTAAGATTATGAAAGAGAGAGTTTTTGTGGGTGGTGACGGTGATGGTGGTGGTGGATGGTGGCGGCCGATGGGCGATGACAACGATGGTGGCGATGGGTGAGAAAGATTTTGGTTTTTGGGAGTGGGGATGGGATGTTTGGGGAAAAAGATTCCATTTTTTCTTTTTTGTTTTCATTTTTTCATTTAAATTTTTAATTGTTTAATGTGATAAATAGATAATTACTATTTTGCCCTTCTAAAATGTATAAAATTAATTTTGGATCAACTGACGAAAAAATTGGTGGAATCCTCCATTGGGGCTTCAGCGCTTCGGTTTAAAAGGTTTGGGAAGACGACTGCAACAAATGAAAAGTGAGGAAAATGTCTGAGAGTATTTGAAAGGTTTGGGGTTTCAACTGCAATTATTCCTAGGTAGAATGTCTCACACTTCAAGAAAGTTTGACCTACTTACACATTTGGGTATATTCTAAGTGAAGTCTTCAACTTTTGATCAGTGTGGTATTGAGTTCTTAACCAATCAAATGTAATATTTGGATGTTGAGCCTTTTCAAATAAGTGTTTTCCCATCGATGAAATAATTTATTTCGTTGTTTAAAAGCAAAAACTATTATTATATCCTTAGTTAAATGATAAAAGAAGGAAAAGAAATAAACTAAAATGTAAAATATAAAACAAAAAACTAAGGAAATTAAACAGGACAGTCGTTGACGTTTACTTAAATTGTGATGGAGGATATGAGTTTTTGCAATTGAAGGCATATAAAATGTGTTATATTCTTGGCATTTATGTTTGAAAAGGTCCCATTTGACTTGATTTTTGGATTTTTTTATTTATTTTGTTCCCTTTTGTTTTCAATATTTCTTATCTTTCTTTTTCATTTCTTTTCTTGGTCCTCATAAGTGAGGGCAAAATGGTAATTTTAACCAAAAATTGACAATCACAGTCACGTAGTTTTCGTTGGTTGAGGATTTGAGTATGCAAACTGTTGACCTCGCAAATTGGGCCTTCCACGTGGCCAACCGATAGTTACTCCACGTATTTCTCACTGCACACAATCAACGCATGGTCAGACACACACGGTCGGGACCAGCGGGAGTGGTGGCAGCCGTATACACTCTGACGATCAAGTCAGATTCAGGTGGTCGGAACAGTACCCAGAGGTTGTGTCCAAAAACACTAAGGGGGAAGAGAAAATATATAAATTTGCTATGGAATGCTATGTAGTAAGAGTTTCATTACCTTTGCCTCTTGCCAAACATTGGGTATTTATAGGTGGGATGAACCGTTGGATGTGGGATACGTGTAGACATCTGACGGTATGAGGTGTCCGCTCATAGGGGTCAATCAGCCGCGTCTGTAGAGTGAGCGGCAGCTTGTTTCTCCTGAGTTGAATTGACATAAAGTTGATAAGTCACATCAACTAGCCTCATGGAGACGTCAAATCAATTTAAACCTTAGGTGCAGAGATGATCTTGGCACAAATCTCTTTCAGAAATTGGTGGCGGATCTTCTGACAGAGGTCCACTTGGCCTCGGCCTCGGAGGCGAGGCGCTTCGATCAGTTCAGCAGGATAATCTATATATCGCAGTGTGCCTCGCAGCGTGTTACTAGGTTGTTGACATTGGTAATATCACTTCGGAAACACTTCGGATGGGTGTCTATCAGGTTGGAATGTGTGGTGGTTGGCAATCCGAAGCGGTTCAGATAATAGTGGCGTAACAGTGGTCCCCCCAAGTCCAGGTATGAATATTTATATCATGGGTGGACTTGTTTTCCTGACTAGATGTGTATGTCTCGAACTGGGGACGGCGACTCGTGGGAGCTTGGGGTCGATCTTTTGCAGTAACCGAAGCCATGATCTTAGGCAGATGCGCCAAAGTTTCGTTACTGCGTAAGGGAAGCAATAACCGATGTGAGGTCGAAGCGCTGCAAGATAGGACGATTAGTAGGAAAAGAGGTTAACGCGATGACCCACAAGGGACTCGCGTCAGGCGCGTGTAGGCTATGTGAAGTTGAGTGAGGAACTTGTCTGCCACCGGTGCTCTGACCCGCGTGGGATGACGCGTTGGGAGATGGCTAAAACTTTGTAAAGTTTAGAAGCGAACGCAGCTGTCGAGGTGATGACCCACAGGGCACTTCGCGTCGGGTGCGTCTAAACTTTGTAAAGTTGAGGAGCTTATCTACCACTGGTGCGCTAACCCGCATAGGACGACGCGTTGGGAGATGGCTAAAACTTTGTAAAGTTTAGTAGGGAACGCAGCTGTCGAGGCGATGACCCACAGGGGACTTCGCTTCGGGTGCGTTTAAGCTTTGTAAAATTGAGTGAGGCGCTCGATCCGAGGCGATTCAGGTGTTAAATGATTTGACAAAAGTTGC